GTTTAGCAATTCGATTCAAAATGACCGACTGGCAGCCATCTTGTTTTTTGAAAATGTGTATTTTGAACATGTTTGTCAGTTGTCATTCAAACTTGGTACATAGATTATACATGTTAGGATACATGTCCATGACGATTTATTTCGCAATTGGATCAAAGATGGTCGACTGGCAGGCATCTTGGTTTTTTTTTTTATGCGGTATCTTGAACGTGCTCTGTCAGTTTTCATTCAAATTTGGCACATACATGTACTTTATACATGTTAGGATGCATGTCCATGACAATTTGTTTCAAAATCTGGTCAAGGATGGCCGATTGACAGCCATCTGACTTTTTGGCCTTACTACTATATTTCCACAATTTATGTACCACTTTCATTCATATTTGGCACATACATCATACATATCAGTGTGTTTCATAATCAAATCAAAGATGGCCCAATAACGGCTGTTTTTATTTTTGGCCATATTACTACTACACGGAACACGTGTTTTGATGTAAATAAACAATCTGTTGTATACGCCACTTGGAACTCAAGTTTCAAGGACACGCTTGCGACAACCCATCCACTTTAATATGACGAGCACAAAGAGAACTTTCAAAAATTTAACTGGGACTGTAAATAGAGTGTACATATCAACTCACACATAATATGTACAATGTATCTTCATTAAGAAGTACAACCTTGTAAAACTGTGTTTTACTATCTTGTCTAAACCATTAACATCAACAATCTCTTGTGAGTCAACTAATTAAAATAGTAAATACATACAAATAAAAAGAAAGAAAATGGTGAAAAAGATACTTACAATTTACCAGTAATCACACCACAGGCTTTAGTGTAATTGATTCTTATTGAGTGAATATATTATATTCATTATGCCTATTTTATCTAAAATATTTGTTGGGAAAAAGTTGTTCCTGTACATGCGTTACTTACTCTTTTTTTTTGACTAATTTCAATTTATAGGAGGAATAAAAAGAAGCAGCTACAGAGAGCTCCATCACCACCGATGATTGATCCAATCGAATCGAGAATAATTGAAGAAAGAAGACTGGCACAGTTAAGAGAATTGAAAGAAAAACAGTTACTTATATTACAGCGAAGAAAGTAAGTTATAGAATATAAATGAATGGTTGG